CATGTGCAAATCACACAAGCACAATTACTTCTATACATTCAATCCATCAATTCAGTTTAAAAAAATAGTGAATATATCATTATTTTTCTACCTCTTATTCTATATTCTCAACTTTTACTACATATTATTTTCTTATTGTATTAGTTACAGAACTTTCTATATAATGTAGAGAGAGTAATATACATGTGTATGTGTGTGTGTATGTGTGTGTGCGTGCGTGTGTGTGTGTGTGTGTGTATGCGCGCGCGCGTGCACACACACACACAATATTAATATAAGAATGATAATATATTCGTATCACATAAAAATTTTATATATATACCTTATAGGCACAGGATTGGGGAACAACTAGTAGTCTCACTCGTAGCGATTCTACAGGATCTCAGCAATCAGTCCAATCATATGCTTCTCCGACTATACCACCATATAGCAGCAGCATGAAAGGAGGCAGTATCGCTGAAATCCTAATTGGTTTAGCATATAATGGCACAACAGGTCGCTTATCAGTTGAAATAATCAAGGGTTCTCATTTTCGTGGTGGAGGTGGAAACGATACAAAACCTCCCGACACTTATGTTAAATTGGCTCTTATTAATAGTAACAATCATGAAATGGGCCGATCAAAGACCGGTTTAAAACGTGCCCAACCAAATCCTCTCTACAAAGAAATGTTCATATTTCAGGTAACTTTTATAAAATTTCTTACTTTCTCATTTTTTAACTTTTTAGCTCAAATGTTTAAATAAAAATTGTTCACTTTATGTGGAATGATAGTTGCAATCATTAAGACATAAAATTAAGATTATGCGAAAAATATGTCTGCTTTAAAATGAAAAAATACATTAAAAATACATTAAAAAATAGATTGTATATTGGACGTATTTTTATAGCTATAAGAGGCTTTTATGCAAAAATTTAAAAAGGAAACTTTTGATTTCTATATATGATAAATAAATAATTATAATATTATTGATCAAATTTCTTAGTTATAATGCTGTTTTGATTTCAAACCTATACATCAGTTATTATACTCACAATTTTCATACACAAATATGATTTATTATTAATATTTATTTATATGTAAAATTAATTTATTATTTGATTTTGTTTTATTCTTTGATTTAATTTGTTTCTCATTACCGAAAAAATTAATTATGGAAACATTTTTTATTTATTGACTTGACTCTTTTATTTTTATTTTAAATATGTAGTTTTAGTTATTGACTCTAATTTTATCTATTAATATAGCCTAATAGAAAATAAAATAGGTCTGCCAATTATATAACAATTATGAAATTTAAGTATTTGCTAGTTTTTCAAAGTAGTAAATATCAAAGTAATATTGAATACGATAAAAATATAGTCACGATAATAATGTATATGAATTATTAATTGATAATAAAATAGCGACTTAATTACATAGTTATATAAACTTCATACAAATAAAACATAACATTATATTTTTTTAGCTTAGACAAATATTTTTGTGAAACGTAATGCATAGTATCATTGAGATAAGTTTAAAAAATACATACTGATAGCAACGATATACATATATTAGTTTATTTAATGATTTACTACAAATGATTAATATTACTACTTTTCTCGGTTTATATAACTTGGTGATTGTTCTTATTACAGTTTTATTATACATAATTGAGACACTATTTGTGTGCCACTTTCTAGTTACTAGTACGACTTTTTTCTCCGAGTATAATTCCAATTTTTTTTTAAACAATTATGTATTTTCTTAACCAATGAAACACACATACTTTTTGCAGCTAAATTAATCATTTTGCTATGATATAAGTTTTTGCTATGGCTGAACATTATATATATAAGTATATATTATTACATATAATTTTAATATAATTATATATATTCCCTTATATACATACATATATATATATATATATATATATATATATATATATATATATAAATGGTATCCGGTCGCAACAAACAAAACTACAACTATGAACTATAGTTAAATGTATAATAGTAAAAATGAAATATTTGTTTGTTTGATTCCTTGATAGCAATTATTGTCATGAAATTTTATTTAGATGACTGAAAATTTTAGCGTGGAATGATTGATTGAGCGACTTTCACTTTTAGTCTTTATCTAATTTCAAAGCGCGTGATTAATTGTTATTAATTGTTATTAGCGAAAATTTTTTAAAGTTCTAACTTAACAATAATTCAAGTTTAAAATGTAATTATGTGAAGCGTGATATATAACATTTTATTTTTGAACATAGGTCGCATTGTTTCAATTGGGAGATGTAACACTTTTTTTATCTGTGTACAACCGACGACGAAGTGGAATGGGCAGAAAAGGACGAGAAATGATTGGTTGGCTTTCTTTGGGTCTAAATAGCTCTGGCTCCGAAGAATTACAACATTGGAATGATATGCGAACCGCAAGACAACCAATACAAATACAACGTTGGCATTCGCTACTGCGTCCCTGAGGCAACTTTGTGTGAGTGCTTCTCAGAGATTCATTCTTAATGTAATTATTTGAACACAAAATGATTTAATTAGTAATCAGTTTCTAGAAAAGAATTCTTTGCGGCAGGCTTATCTCAAGAGAGATCAATTATGATTCTTTCTCCTTATCTCATGGGGACATGCCGTGTACTGCCTGATTGAAGAACAGAAGTCAATATTTCAGTCGGTCTGTCAACCGCCAAAGCCCGAACAAATACAAGTCCAAATAGCATCATAAAAACACTCTAATTTCTACATCTGTTAAGAAACAAGTCATAAATATTATATAATATCATAATGTTTAAAAGATGTTTTAATATTTTAGCTTTATTAAACAATAACTGTCTTATTAAATATATAACTGTCTAAATAGCTCAAAAGACGCTCTAACTTTCAATTAATTTTAAATTAGTTTCTAAAGAACTTATTAATTTAAAAATCAATTGGTAATTAGAGCATCTTCTGAATTATGTAGACACTCCTTTCTGGACTTTTGTTTTGTTCGGGATGCTCTGTTTGAAATACTGTAAATTCTGAGTTATAAACTCTAAATGTACCAAGTACATTCACTTTTTGATACGCTGATGGAAGCAGTGTGGCTAGTCTTCGATATGTTAAGGGTCTCGACGATCAATATGATCGTTATCTTAGCGTTTAACCAACCCAATTATCGTACCTGTTCTGTCATATAATACGATGCTCTCCGACTCAATATGTGCCTCTGCTAGTCTGAATCATTTATTTTTACTTTATGCCTTTCATGCCGCGCTAAAAAAATTGTTGATATATAAGTATCCAAACGACGTCATTAAAAAAAAATAGTTATAAAAAATAGTTAATTATTATCTTTATATTTATATTTTCAGAGACAGAGTGGCTATACGATAGAAAATCTAGAATTTTTTAGTAATTTTAATTTAATATTTTATATGAATCCAAAAAATATCCTGACATGGATTGAAAAATATTGTAGAAAAATTAGTTTTTTTCATATTTTCAATTATTAAAATATCCCAGGAAAAGCAAAAAAATTTCTGTGATTTAATAAAATATTTTTAAAAATCAATAAAATTAAATCTCTGATTTAATTCTATTTGTATTAAGATCTGAAAAAAATTATTTAAATTTAGAAATTTAATAATAGATTTCTGAAAAATTAATATATTTTAATATTAGGAACATTATTAATGTAAATATTTTCTTAGAAAGTAAAAAATTCTTATTTGTAAAATTAAAAAATTTAGGAATTTTCTGAATTTGTAGAAGTGATTCGTGTGTCCGCTCTGAAATACAATAATATCGACACAATGAGTTATTATTGCATAGCTTTGATTTGGAAATAGATAAATTGAATCAAAATTATTATACTAAAAAATTTTTTTTCTTTATTGAATAATTGAATTTAATAATATTGTTTTCCTAACAGTAAATCTATCATTGCGCCATTTTATCATTGTCGATATTAACCTCTCTTATCGTATATAATTGTATATTCAGCTTCAATATTTGACCCGTTTATTCATATAAGTTAATATAGCGCTAAATTAATAGATCTACATGCGTGAATATTACGCACGATGTGCAGATCTATATCTTTTCGCAATATGTATTTATTTATTTAAATCATTGAATATGAATTCGTTTTTTTCTTTGTATCTCTACATCCAGTCTTATTATGTAATTAAAAAGAAAATCTAAAGAAAAAGTAATTATTTTTTATTTATATCAATATTTATATCAAAATTTTCAGAAATTTGAAATTGAAATTATAAAAAATTTTTAATGTAATTCTCCATATTATATGTTGATAAACTTTTACTCTATTTGGAATTAAGTGCATTATTAGAATATCCAAAAAAGAATTTATTTTGAAAAGGTAGATAAAGATTAATTAAGTTCTTATTTATAAGTTAATAAAGATTTATCTCTATTTTACCGCCAAAAAATTGCAAGTCAACTTATTATATATTATTGACAATCTACCAAACATTATTTCTATCTTATTCTACACTTATTAATTTTAATATTAAATTTATATTTAATATTTATATTTAATAACTTGAAAATTCTATTATAAATTTTGCAAAAATCAGAAACTTTTAAGTATTATATCAGTTATTATTAATATTATTAATTTGAATAATTTTTATATTTGGTTCAGATAATTAAATTTGCAAAAGATTTTATAAAACATTTGTTAAAAATTTTCTCAACAAAAATTTATAGGCGAACTTAGTAGTAGGGCTAATATTAGACATTTAAAAAATTCTTAAATTAAAATTGAAAACAATTAAAAAATGTTTAATTATTTTTGATATTTAAAGCTCCCTTAATTCAACACAAAGCGAAAAAATACATAATAAAAGTTTTTATAAAATACTTACAAAATTCTTACAAAATAAATTAAAATAGAAATATTTTTCAATAACATTCTCAAGTATCATATCTTTGTTAAAATGATGTCATTAATTATTGATCTAGTGATGTTACATAATCAAATAAAATTTAAAATAGTGTTTTTCTTCGTGATGTCTAATGATATTTTACAAAAACATAATTTTTAAATTATTTTTTTATAAATTAATTTTTCTGTGTAATTGTTAATTAAAAATGTAAAAACAAACATTTGTTACAAATTCATTTTAACTTCTTATAATTTTCTACATATATAAGATGGCCAGTAATAATTGTATCTCCAAGAAGGAAGGGTGTGCGTTATTTTATGTTATTAAAACATTCAAAATGTTATTAAAATGTCATTAAAAAGTTGAAAAAGTTAAAAAATAACGTCTCTTTCTAATAACTTAAAATATTGACATTGGTCCGTGACATTTGTCCGTCTTTCTTATGTTATTTTAATGTTGTTATATTGGTCATTTGTGATCATTTTTTTTTATATTTTTGATCAAATTTTGGTGTCATTTTAACATATATTTATTAGCTGAGAATTTGCAATTGATGAAGAGATTGAGAATAGATGTGTAAAATACAAACTTTCATTTTATTTTGATAAATAAAGAATAATATTTATAAAGTTATATTTATGGTAAATAAAAATATATAAAAATCAAATTGTATTTTCATTATTTATTAGTACTTATTATTTATTAATTTATTAATTATCAAAGCAAGAGTTCGATATATTTTACAAATGTGTATAAATTAGAAATATTATTTTATAGAAAACTATAAGCCTTGCTCAAAAGTATTAAGTATTTATAATATTAAGTATTTTTTTTATTTATCTGGAACTCTCTTCTCTATATATTTCCTATCGGTTATCAGTTATGTATAACTTGTTATATACAAATTTAAAAGATTTTGAAATAAAAATAATTCATGGCAAATGAAAAACATAGATAAAAGAATTCTAGATAATTCAAGAAAATATAGAAGAAAAAATAGGAAAATGTAGGCTTAATATTTTTGGACAAAATTGTATTTTTTATTTTTTTAATATAACTTATAAGGATTTTCATTATGTATTTTTTCGCTTTAGATATTATCAATCCATATGATCATTTTCAGTACTTAAAAGCTTCTAGAGCTTAATTAATAATTATAATAATAGATATTCTGAGGAATCGGAGAAATTTTTTTAAGTTTAATCTCCAAAATAAATTCTTTTAATGATTGAAAATTTTAACAAAATGTTGCGTGTACACACACACACACATACACACACACACACACACACACACACACAGTCCCATTTTAATTTTCGCATCGAAATATCTCGAAAAATGTAATAGATTGAAAAAACATTTCAAGCAAACTTTATAAAATTTCGAGGTAGCCACATGATATTGATTATAATATTAATTCATTCGCAAATGGTGTCATTATCAATTTATCCACCATATCATAAAACCATATTTTCTTAAACGGAATCATATAATTTTTGTCACGTAAAATCTTTATAATGAAGATGGAAGTATAATTGTCAAAAAGTCAATTATAAAATATTTTATACTTTATGTTAGAATATGCCAGATTAAAGTCTAAAATATCGTAAACTATTGTAATAATTGTACCGTAACATTTTATATTCATAACTAGAGAAATTATTATATATTGTGTAACAAAAAATTAATATATAATATATAATTTCATTTTATATATAATTCCATAAAATAACATTAAAAATAACGCCCATAAAAAATCTTACTAGCAACTATCTATAAATGAATCAATATTATAATCATATAACTTTCAAGATCTTATAACTTTTGTCTGAAATGCGTTTCTATATATTTCATATTTTCTAAAATATTTCAATGTGAAAGTTAAAGTGGAACATCCTGTGAGCGCGTACGTGTGCACGTGCGTGCGTGCGTGCGTGCGTGCGTGCGTGCGTGCGTGCGTGCGTGCGTGCGTGCGTGTGTGTGTGTGTGTGTGTGTGTGTGTGTGTGTGTGTGTGTGTGTGTGTGTGTGTGTGTTAATTACGAATAGATTTAAACATTCCATTTTCAATATATTATATGCTATAGGAATACTGTAGTATTCATTTAAAATAACTTTTTTGATCATTTTGATTCAGATATCTCAAAATTGTGATGTAACAAAATATTGTGAAGACAAGAAATATATTCAACAAAAAAAGTTATGAAGCATAATAATTGCTTTTTTAGGTTTAATAAAATCAATTTCTATTTAAATTACACTATTATAACTTGGGCATGCATGAATGAAACATAGATAGTAAGAATTAGTATGCATAATAACATTAATTTAAAAAAAAATATCAATGTCTGATGATGATGAGAGTTTAATTTAATGCTTAGTTGACAATTTAATATAATATAATTTAAGCTAAGATTAAAATATATGTGTAATTAACTTGACCAAAATAATAACAAACTTTATGTAAGAAAAAACATTCCTATTTAAATAAAATCAACAATTTATAGCTACTAAATTATATTATTGTTAATAAATTAACATTAAATATTGCTAACATTATTAATATTAAATTAAATGTCCTTAGAATATTTTATATTATTATTTTGCAAATCAATTTTTATTATTTTATAGAATCTATATCACACATTTTGTTTATTGAGATGCTCTTAATAATTGTATATTTATTTTATATGATTTTATATGATACACTAACCAATCCGTTTAATTCAATTTTTTAATGTTTAACTAATATCTTACGTTTCGTTCAAGTATGCCTAAAAAGAAAATTTGGATGGATTAATAACAAATTAATAACAAATTAATAACAAATATAGTAATAAGATAAAATTAAGAGATGAGTATTGATGCTTAAGATGGTTCGAGAATGGATTGATACATGCACGAGCTATGGCATGACGACGGTGAAGATTTAGTAAGATTTCGGCTCGAAATGGAATACGAGACCAATTCAACGAGAATGACAATTCAATGACGCACAATGATTCGCAAAACGCACTTCGTAAACATAAATGTGATTGTAGAATCAATATATTATAATTGCAATAGAAACATATACAATCACGCAAAAAATATGACATAATTTATGTATTAATATTAGAATTTTTTAGCAAGGGGTTCCTCCATCATAATTACAATCAGGATTGGAAAATAATACGTTACCTATAACGGCCGTTACCGCTTCCGTTACTTTTTTCCATTTGGAACGGTAACAGTAATGTTGTATTTTTACAATAACAGTAACGAATTTGTCATTATTTTTATCGTTACTTTAGTCCTAGATTAGTCTCAGTATAATTAAACTCAGTCTAATTAAACTTAATTATTCCATTGGAACAGACCAATGGTGAGACCGATCTTATTATCTTTATATTTGTTCAATAAATAAAATGACGCTGACCGCGTTTCGTTTATTGTTAGTGGCGTATTTACTTACTTCTTCACTTACTTTTTTATTCCAAAACGTATTGTCCTTTTTATTTGAAATCTTAGCGCATACTACACACACACACACACACACACACACACACACACACACACACACACACACACACACACACATACACAGTTTTTCAATTTTTTCATGTCATATTTTAATATTATATTAGAATTATATAGAAACTTGATTATATAAAAACTTGAAATCTTTTAAATTGCAATGTTGAAGTATTATTGCATGAAAAAGAAAACTTCCCTTTAATTTTAAGATTTAAAATACAAACACAAATTTAAAATCTAATTAAACTTATTTTAGTGTTACAAAAAAAGTAACGAAAAAGTAACGAATCGTTACTTTTCAAGTAATGGTAAAGATAACGCGTTATTTTTTAAAATCAGTAATGTAAGTAACGATAACAAGTTATTTTTTACAAAAAGTAACGGTAACGGTAACGCCTTACTTTTTTGAGGTACTATTCCCAACTCTGGTTATAATACATTAGAAACAAAAAAATAGAAAATTAGATATGGCGATAAATTTATGCTCAAGTTAGATTATGAGAAACATTTATTTAATATAATATAAAATTAATAATAATTATTTAATAAAATTATAATTATAATTATAATTTAAAATTATAATTATAATTATTTAATATAAAAATATACAGCATAATAAAAAATTATACATATATACTTCATTCTTTTTCTTCTTTCTTATAGATTTTTAAACTAATTAAAAATATACATCCTTTAACAAATACTATTCTTATATCTTATATTCTTATATTCTTATATAATACTATTCTTATTCTTTAGCAAATATTATATTTATTCTTTTCATATCTTCATAATTTTTTAAAATCTTTAAAAAAAGTTTGATTAGCTTTTTATTTCTCATATTAAAAATTATACAAATTTTTTTCAATTATCTGAGCATGATCAGAATAATTTATGCGATTTCATATTAATATTATTAAAATAAAGGTTTATCTATAGTAATATGGAAAATAGTTTTAGATCAATATCATTAAGGAACCCTTGAATCAGCGGACAAAGCCAGCGACTGATTAACAGATAAACAGATATTGTGAATCATTTAATGCTTGACTTTTTCAAGCCTCTAGTAGTAAATTTTCATCATGATTATATATTGATCCATGCTCGAACTATTTTTTCATTTATATTTTAGAAATAAAATAATTGCAAGGACTCAGAATCTCCTTTATGATACGAAAAATTAGTTATTATATAACACAAACTCTTTACATACATATATATATATGTAAAAATACACATATATATGTATGTGTGTGTGTGTGTGTGTATGTGTGTGTGTGTGTGTAAAAAGAGTTTGTGTTATATAACAATTTTAAAAAATTATATGAATATAAAAATACAAAAGCAAATCATTCATATTAAGATAGAAAATTGTTTCTATTTCTAAAGTTAATTTTTCAGTCTATACTGATTATGTATTTTTTCTTTTCAAGAATTTACTATTGTATTGAATTTACTATATTGTTAAAATTTTGAATCTTTTTTAAGTCTGTATGAATCGACATAAACATTTTTGGCGTTATTATCATTTTTATTAAAAATATTTCTTATATATTTTTTATAGCGTAAAAAAAAACGGGCTAAATGGCAAAATAATCGATATTTCAAGTATACTGTAATTATGAGTATCATATGTACATGTATATTATGTGTATATCAATTGTATTGTATACAGGGTGTCTAATTTTAATGAAAACAACTATGTATTTTCTAATCATGACATTGTACGAAAAAATATATCAGATAAAAGTTTTAAAAGTTTATGAGGGTATTATAATGCTATTAGTTTGATATTGAATAGCTATTTGAAGATCCTATGAAAATCATCGTTATTTTTTTAAATAGAATATGATTTTTTACATAATATGATTTATCTGCAATTATTCTGCATATAAAGATATTTTTATTAAGAAATACCTCTACAATTATAAAAAAATTCATAGTTTACAAAGTGTTTTACATTTTATGTCAGACTATGCTAGAATAAAGTATAAAATATTGCAAACTATTGATTTTTTTGATAACTTTACTATTTTTATATGAAATAACAAAAGATATCACATTATTAAAAAAAAAATCAGATTCTACTGAAAAAAAAAAATAACTTTCATGTGATCTTCAAAGAATTGTTCATCATCAACATCATATCAATAGGAGTATAACACATCTCTCTTTTAAAATTTAAAAATTTTCATTTTATACATTTTGTATAATGACAAATTTATGAGAAATATATATAAAGCTATCTAAAATGACACCCTGTACACGTAGCATTTGTAGCGATTTGTTTCACATATTGTTAGTTGATATTATTTTAAAGAGTATCTCTGAGTCCTAACAATATTATCGTATAAATGTACAGTCTGCTTATAAACGGCACGATGCTAAAAGAAGAGAAGCGTTAAATATTTAAATCGATTAAAGATATAATATGTCATTCTCTCAATTTAAGATTATCGAATATTTGTTTTCTATAACACAGAGTGAAATTAAGAAATCCTAAGAATTCCAATCAGCACATTTCTTGAGTCTGAGTAATACATTACAACATATATTAAATTAGCAAGTAGTTTTGTAACTTTTAGATCTTTTACTCTCTCAAGTAAATAATGGTGTAAAATAAAATTGTGATAATGTTAATCTTACCATGTTTTTCACTTTGAGAGATAAGCCGATGCTGTTAGATAGATATAAAATATGAAAAATTACAAGATTTGTCTTGTTTTATATTTTCATCCCACCGGGATTTGCAATATTACATCTTTAGAAAATCCGGCAAAATTTTCATGATAAGTTCACTTTTTTATATATTCTTAACCTAGAAATTAACAATCATCAGCTTAAGATTCAGACAAAAATAAATTACAAAGGATCTGTTACATACATTATTAAATTTCATATTATTAATATTTTAAGTAATCGAATTTTTTCATTTGTAATTTTTTCGATTAAAACAGAATTGTTCCAAAATTTAATATACAATTTTCATGTTTGTTTTAAAATAAATTGTTTTTTTTTATTTTTTAAAAATCTGATTATTCTAATTTTGTTATTATGCTCCAGAATTAAATAAGAATTATTCCTTAATCGATGTTTGCAGTATCGAAAGGATAAGGGAGCTAAAGTCAAAATATCTAGAATATCTTCGCAATATTTCAGCAAAGTATTTATTGGAAAGGAGATATTTAAATTTTCTTACAAGAAAAATTTAGTGTAATATATCTACTCTGTTATTTTATTTTGTTATTGAATAGATTTGTTATTGAATAGTTTTATTTATTACACAAGATGATAAGAAGAAAAATATCAGATATCGCGAAGATTATAAACAGATTATCTTTGGCTTTTTATCTATATTTTCATCTATGGCACCTATTTCTCTCAACAAACATTCAAATTTGAATGTTTACTGCACAAACTAATTATCTTGATCAATGTTATTATATGCTTATAAATTAATAATAATTATATTTATCGCGTTTTATAAAAATGTATTCTAATATATAATTAAATTAAGAATAAATTTATTAATAGTTAATATCGCAATCAATACTTCAATCCATATTTTAAATAAAATTTCAACCTGCATTTTAATCTAGTCCATATTTTTCCAGCAGTTCTTTTTTTTTCTAGCCAATAGAGCTTCTTGAATATCATGTTGTGAAGGAATCACTTTCTGTGCTGTTGTCTCAATATCAATCTCCAGTTCCTTTTCATGAGATATCCATTCCTTAATACACTTTTCTCTTGCTTCTTGTTCAGCTTTTTGTTCCAATGGTATCAGGATCCCATCATCATCATCCATATAACCATAATAATCTGCATCGATATCCTTCATCAATTCTGCACGAGTTTTTCGAGGTGGTGGTGGTGGTTCTTGCTCAAATAATTCTCTAACACCTGGTAATTCTTTAGCAGCGCCGAAATATTTATAACCTCGATTACCAGGAACCTATAATTTAATCAAAATACATAAATAATTGATAAATTTCTGACAGTTTGCAGAGATATAAAATATATTTGTAACTTCACCTCACGTCCTTCATGATCTAACATACGAGGTCCAACTCTAGAATAATCAGGCCCCCCAAGCTCTTTTATTTGTGTTTCCCAATGTCGTTTTTCTCTAAGCAATTTATTAATCTCGTCATTTAAATCACGAATACGGAATTCTCCAAGACCAGCATTTTGAATTTGGGCAACTTTCTTTGCAATTTCTCTAATTATTTGAGTTCGCCACTTTTCAGCCTTGCGTAAGTCTCTGCATTCTGAAGCTAGATACGGTCTTCGTTCTTGTTCTTTCCTTATTCCTTCATTATTTTGTGCTGCTCTCCAACGAGCAAGTGTTGTCCTAAAATTATTATCAATATTATATACATTAATTTTAGTACATATATATATATATATATATATATATATATATATATATATA